GTAGTTCGCCTAGAACACGACGGCAAGCTCTTCTTGCACTTTGCGAGGGCTTGACGCTGCTTACACGACTCACGCGGGCTTGCTTCTCTAGGCTGGGTTTAGGATTTAAGCGCGTCGTGTACACGCCGCGTCGTGCCCGAAGCAATACTGTATATCGATTGCGGGACGGCCGAGCCTCCGAACACATTACATGATTAAACCGCCCCAATGGCATAGCAACCGGCCTTGCAGCACTTACCTTATTAAAATATCCGCCACCCTCGCCGCGCCCTTTTAACAAAAGCGTAGCCACGAACTACTCCGCTCTTTATTACCCAGAAACGCTTAACCGGGCCGGCGTCGATCGGTTTCTCGGGGTCGCGTAACGGCGCACGAGCATCTCGAGTCGAACCGAACCTACCCTTCGCGGTAGATATTAACCCTTACGTCGCGATTATACACCGCTGACCGGTCGCGCTTAACTTAAAGACAAAGTGAACGCGATCTTCGCTCACAGACACATATCATTCTACTGTTAAGAAATGTAATCATTCAGTTTACTTCTTTCAAGTAACGGTTATCTTCAGCAGAAGGATATTTTTTTAATAATATATATGTCTGAAAAAATATACTCATCACAAATTTTAGGAAAGCTCATATATATTATCATGCACCCAAAAGAAGAATTTATTCTCTTCGCAAGAATATCACAAAACTTTATCGAAGAAAAGTTGATTTGAGTTTATGTAAGCAAACCGAGTTTTTATTTTAATCTAATATTTCTGATTGAAATGTTAAACATACTAGGATTCAGAATGTACTTTGAACAAGTCTAATGCTCGTAGTGAATTTATGATAGATTTGCAGAAGTACAAACTTATGTATGAAATACTTGAAACGAGTAACATTTACCTGAATGCAATATGTAATTTCCACTTGTGTACACAAGATACATAAAGATATATGATTAATAAAATGTGGGGTTAGCCACATTTTCTCTTTTTAGCGTTTAATCCAACAGCTCTTAGAATTTGAATCTTATTGCAGACTAGTAAGAGAAAGACTATATTACATATTCTACTTCATTTTAAAATTCTAATAATACGGTAAAGAATCGTTTCAAAAGACTAACAAAATTCATGTTTTATATAAAATGAAATAAATTTTACCAAAAAAGAAATTGTTCAACACGTGTGTAGATGTATTGAATATCCTAATATATACACACCGCGCACATTTAGAAAATAATTTGTAGCAACAGAAATAGCCATTTCGTGAACGTGTTTTCACGTTTGAAGACTATCCATGTCGAGAAACCCTGATTTGAATCTTATCAAGGCTAATCACCAATCAAGAAATCCCTAACAACCTTGCTATTCAACCGTCGCTTCGTAATGAACAGAAAATATGGACAGTATTCGGATCCTAAAAGGGTTAAGGGGTCGTGAACCTGTCAGCTCTGTTTACAGGTCGCCAACTTAATTATCACGATTCGCCGTGAATATTCACTCGGAAAATCGGTCGCCGACTCCGTGTTGTACAACCGCGAGGTCGTCCTCCGCGCCGCGGACGTTCATAATTTAGGAAGCCTTCGACCTTGCTCCACTCACCGAGATCGACTGGATGAATAACTCAGAGGACATGCCGGTGCGCGCAAGGCGCAGAGGGCAGACGAAAGAGAAGGAGGATGAAAATGCCAGGCGAGAGTGTCAGCGTCGTTAAGGCGAGAGGAGCGAGTGAGAGATTCGAAGACATCCTATCGACCGAACGATACCCGTCGTCGAAATTTCCGTAATTATGCTCAGCGAGCAGCGAGCGCGGCTGCAAAACCGCCCTAGAAATCCACGACAAAATATTAGGGCTAGAAGAATATAAGGTTAAAGAGTCGCCCGATAATCATACTTGTCATCTATTTTATTATGTTCTATTATGCGAGATATAATTCACGATATCGTCTCATCGGCCTCTTACTCTCGATGCTTCGTTTCGCGTAATATGAATGAATAAGTTCCGTCATGAGAAACGACGTCTACCTATCACGCGAAAAGAACCAGTAATAAAGTGTGCCGTTGACACTTTATAGGAGCCAGTAATAAAGCTCGCTCCGTTGATACTTTACATGAGAAATAGCGGACATTTCTCTAGTCGCAGATAAGGACCCGAGATGGTATCTCGCGCGGCCATGAGTACAACCGATCGAATGTGGCCCGACGATAAGAGGTTACGAAATATTCCACGTCATCTTGAGTGATCGTGATATGTACGAAGAAATAGTATGGTAAATTGCAACGAGCAATTAAACGATACCAAGATAAGAGAAAAACAGGAATAGCCACGAACTCTATTTTGAAGATATTGGAAGTTGTATAATGAGTAATTTTGGATTTCTCAGGTGAAATAGAACGATTATATTTTCACGTCGTTATAATTTAATGAAACAGGGCGTACACCATTTAAAAAAATCTTACTCTATCCTTCGCATGGGCACTGTTTTACCAAATTATTTATAACGACATGATAACACAATTACAATTTTATTTTATGGAACATTCGAAATTATTTGCTACACGACCCAGTATATTTCTGTTGGGATATTTCGCGCCGGAAAGGGATATTAAATGTATGATTCTTTCTGTATTTGTATGTAAAATAGAGATTGATAGAAATTGACATTACTTTATGAGCGCGAGAGCAGTCTGTCATCTTATTGCACTCCGTGTCGACGTGTAACGTTGTAATGTTGCGAATCAACATCGAGCTAATATGTAACGCTGCAGTTTTAATTTTACATAACGCAATTAATTGACGTCGTAGAGACGGTCGTGCGAACGTGAGTTAGCGTGCGCTTATATTTTCATCGCTTTCCGATGTTAATTAAATCCGCGAGACGTATTATATTCCAAAATTAGACAACGGTCTCACGACTTTACGGGCGGAAAGGCTGCGGGGTGGAGGAGGAGAGAAGTTTACAGAGACGTTAACGTCTGTGGTAACGTCTGTGGTAATATCTGACGAGACAAAAATAAACGATATCGAGAGAAAAAGGAATTTTGAGCATTGTGACCGAATATAACACGTTTTATACAACTTGCATATCGCGATATCGTTATTAAATACATCAAGTCCATTCGACCTGCACGGTCGGCGAAGTCGACGAGCTTACATCGTATTCCATATTTGCGCGATATGAGACTTAATCTCATCCTATATTGGATATAATTAGCGGGATTGTCTGTTCTCTAAATATATAATCATCCTAAAGATCACCAAAATATATATCCTTCTCCCGTAATAGCTTTGCGCTGATGAAAAGAATAGTCGCGCAAATGGAAGAAGGATGAAGAAGAATAATAATGTATATACACGATAAGTTAACTCCAGCAAACTGAAGGGGTTTTTCGTTAAGTATCTTGTAGCAATAATTTTACAAGCATTACGCGCGCTTTTTCTTGCTTTGCGAACCGAATGAAACATGGCAGGCGTGCGTTATACTCTTTCTCTCTCTTTCGTTCGTGATATCGCGGAGCACCTTGTCGAGATTCGCAACTGACGATTCGATCGACGAGATTTTCGATTCGAAACTCTCGAGCGGCGGCGATCGGGCGCGTGATGTCATTTTGCCGAAATATCATCTGGATTCAAAGGTTTCGCGGTGTCAGTAAGAAGGAGAAGAAAAAAGGTACAATAAGACAGCAGCCCCGAGCGCGATAGATGTTGTCTCGGGAGGGGATATTAATCTTATCAATCGCGCTAATCACGAGCGCATTATCAAAAAGTGGCCACCGTAATGCGTGCCGAGAATTTTAACCCCGGCCAATATTATGCGATGTCGGCGTCATTGTCGTCGCCGTCGTCGAGAGATAAAGCTGGACATGGTGTCGTACGAAGCGCGACAAATCGAAGGAGGTAAATTGCGATCGAGTCTCGCGACTACCGGTCGCGATTGTCGAGCGTTTCGTTATCGGCTCGGACGTTAATCGCCACGTTCCCGCGTGCAAATTGCCCCCGGCGCAATTGCCATTCGCTTTTCGGCTGAATAAAACGGCCGCCCGTGTTTCCAAGTCGCGCGAACGTAGCGAACATAACGAAAAACAGAGCGATAATAATTAAATGGGGTGGCTCGGGTGTTTTGTGTTGGTAATGCATCTGCTGATATTTACACTTCGCATTGAATCGAGAATTGCAGAAAAATTAAAAAGAAGAGAGAGAGAGAGAGAGAGAGAGAGAGAGAGAGAGAGAGAGAGAGAGAGAGAGGGAAGAGCACAACGCGTCTCTCTTTAAAAATAGCCGAGCGTAAAACCTTGAAATTGCACATGATGTATGAAATACCGAATAACCGGATATTTTCGAAGCTGCGTGTTGATTCTTTTAGCGATATAAAAGCATTGTCGGAATTACGTTCTCCATAAACGTCAACGTGCTGAATAATCGCCGTTGATAACCCGACGACGACGACGACAACGACGACGGCGGCGGCGTCGACGGGAAAGGAGTATCCCGCGTGAGCAATGTGTATCCGCAACGATGCATCATTCCGCCAGTACTCTAATCTCTTTGATGTATCGCTTAAGAAAAACTAAATAAATAAACGAACATATTTCCGCGCTAAGAGAGAAAGATATAACTGGAAGTTTTATGCGTTCGCGCAGCAGGCGAGCTCTCGCGGCGGTGCGCGCTCTGTAATATCGTGTACACACGTGAGCGTTGCATAAGTTGCATCTAAATAATCGCGATTGTCGTTGGGAGATAATCTTCGATAATATTCGCGGCTGCCAGTTCTATCAGTTTATCGATACATCGTCTCACAGTTGGCTTCGTCACGTTACATAACTCCTCGAACGTCGAATAATCGCGCGCCTTACTTTCTGAAAAACTCGCCGGCTTTCTAAAGCCGTGATTTCCGTAACATATAAATCATTGACACATAAATCCCATTGATTCATCTCCCCCCGACCCTCCGCTACGTGAAAGCCTCCTGGGATCATCTCTGAAGATTCCTCGGCTCCTCTTTTCGCACTCACCTTCTAAATTCTTGTTCCTCGCGAGGAGCGCCAACAGGACGTCCTGGTTAGGCGCCGCGTCGGCCAAGTCTTCGTCCTGATGAGTCGACGGCAATGCCGGCCCTAGCGGCGGCATGGCACCCGGCGGTGGCCGCGGCATCATCACCGGTGGGCCCGCAGCACCCAGCGGCAGGGCCAAGCCGCCGGAAGTGTGATGCAGGGAATTGTGGGCCGCGATCGGGCCGCTGCTGGTCAAACTCGGTAGCGTCGCGACCGGCGGCTGCACCGCTGCCGACATGGACAAATCGACGCCACCCAGCAGCACCGGACGACAGCCACCGGAACCGCTGGCGCTCACCGCCGGGAGGATACCGCCGCCCCCCGGCAGTGGTGCGTACGGCAAGTACAGCTCCAGTCTAAGAGCGAGCTCGAGCAATCGCGTCAGGAGCAATCCGACTCGGGGGGAGTCGTCGGCCTTCGCGCGACTATCTCGCCGACCAGCGACGATCTATCTCCTCGAGGACGTTGAGAATCGCGCGTGAGATCTCCGCGGACGTGAGACCGTCGCGGCGGCGTGGTCGCGGGCCGCGGAACAGCGACCGCGGACGTCGATAGAGACGAGTTCGTTGATCGCGAGAGGCTCTCGGCCGATGACTCATGCGTGTTGCATCTTCTCGCTACGCTCGTCGCTCGGAAGGAAAGCCGCTGTGGTGTTCGGATGGTTGGCCGATTCACTGCCAGCTTTGACGAAGACACGTGGTGTGCGATAGTCCGGCTACAAGTTACGCGTGAGGAGTCAGTCTTAATCACTCGGAGCGTCGAGCTCTCGACGAGAGCACGTCAAACACGCGTAGTCGTGCATCAAGGCACTTTCTTCGCCGAAGTGAAATTAGGGAACTTTCGTATTAGCCTCTAGACCATCGCAAAGCGCACTTTCGGACGCCAAGTCGTTTCTGCTCATCAACGTCGTGCAAACTCGAGCGACGTAGTCGATGACGGCAAGCTCGAACTTGCCGCTCGATCTCGCGTGGTACGATGCTTCCAAAGCAGATCACCTCCAACAGCGAAACAGAACTCGCGAGCGCGACAGTCGAACGTAGAAAAAACAAAATCCCTCGTACACCTGCTCTCCTTTAGTATCAAGCCAAGTTTTCCACGCGAGTTCCGTCCACGAGGATGGTTTGATGTCTCGCGGGGAACCACGATAGAATAATTACTGATTACCAATCTCCACGGTTATCAGATTATACATGATCACAACTTCGATTAACGATTACTAATCACTTTGTTGGTCCTCGTTGAACGCCGAGCAGTCACGCGGATGTTGAAGAAGACACTCCGCGTAACACTCCCGCGCAGTTTTCCTCGAATTGCAGATTCGTCGTTCAATTAGGCGCGTGTTTGTCTTCACTCACGTTCCCCAGACATTGCATCAATCTTCACCACGACCCCAACGATCCGTCGTAGTCCTCTTTCTCTTTCTCTCGAGCGATGTGCACAAATGGGCACGATTTGGTTCCCGATACAAGAGAGACGCGTACCAAACTTCACTCATTCGTATCGACCACTTTGTTCGGTCATCAATCATTTGTGGTTTTCACCTCATTCCAAGGAGATTCGCGCACGAAGAAGAGTCTTCGCGAAGTTCATCACGATCATAAGCGATGCAGTCAGAGGAGGCACGCTTTCCTCTCTGTTACCTGGCGCGCTGTACCTGCTTCTCAGGGCTCGTGTTTTACGAGCTCATTGCGCGCGAGACTCGAACAGGTTGCTTGCAAATAGTCCAACACCACCGCGCGATTTATTATCGTCGAAGCTGTTCACGACCGGCGAGCGCGCACGCGATTTTTCAGCCGCCACGCGACTTTTCCCTCCAGACTAACATGAAAAGCCGTGGTTTTCTGTAGTAACTAATATCTCGTTACACTCAACGAAGGCATCACACATTGAACATCAAGCGTGTATCATCTGACTGAAGTCCCAATTTTGCCGTTTCAAACACACTGCGAGTTAATTATCTGGCAAAACCGTGGCTCTGCCCCAGTTGGATCCTAAATCAATCTTATATTAACAGTCCACGGTTGCAGTCGATTAAGAACGAGCACAGACAGACAAACCGGACCACGCGTCCCGCCGACGGTAGTCCCCTGGTCGCGAGTAGTTCACTTCAGTGGCGAGTCGCGCGAAGTCGACGTCACTTCTTCTTTTTCTTGCACTTGCTATAAACGCTATCTCCCCGTCTTGACATACACGATGATCTCGCGTCAAGTCCAGTCGAGTCAAGTTCGCGTCACCTGTTCTTTGCTACGGCGGAGTGCAGCGCCCTGAGTTGCCCGTCGCTTCTTTTCAGCAACGGCGCGAACAGGCCGGAAATCGCTGTCGAAGCGCCGCTCCTTCCGGCAGGGTCCGAGCGGGCCTGCAGCCAGCCGCGCACTCGTCGGTGCCCCCCGAGATCGGCCGCTTATCGGGCTGCTCGCGAGACCGGGTTTATCGCGACCGTAACCTTGAATACGTAACACCGATTTCACCGGACGGAGATCCACCGAATCCGAAGAACTTCGCGCCGACACGCGCAGCTTATCGTCCGGTTCTGGAAGCACTCGCTTCTGGATAAATCGCGCTGATAAAACGCTCCTTTACATGCGAACGATAGTGCGTGATAAGCTATTTACTCGGAACGTGGCGCGTGTCGCCTTAAGACGATTGCGCGTCGAATCTGATCGCAATTTTCCCCTCTTGGGACAATTTCGTCAGTGCTATACGTGTGCGCCGACTTGTAGCAATTCGGTTCTGTATTAAGTATACAACTGTCGTCACTGTCTTCTGATAACGAAACAACATTGTTCAAAGCGCGAGTTCTTAGGCGCTGATACCAATTTTTACGAGAAACTTTCTCCTAGAAAATTGTCCAATTTTCATCTCTTTTCAGTGAACATTTAAACGCGTCTCTTTTAATGATTATTCCCATGCAGTCACACTTCTAACCCGGCAATCACGCTTCTGATCCCGTGCACACTGGGAAATATCTTCGACGATCGTTGTTCTGTGGCTGAAATTTGCTGATCGCGACCAACAACGACGCTGGGGGTTTGTCCGTAGGAATTCGACCGCCCTCGACTCTCGTCGATATCGCATCCCCGCGTCGTGATCGGTAGCGAGCCGGTTTTTATACGCGTGTCGATGTAAATTTCGCGAATCCCGACGTGAGCCTCGGCCGTCGGCCGAAGAAAAACACGGAGGATCGCGGTCGATCTAGTCCCTGTCTGCCGATCTGCTCCACCCGGTTGGGCCCGAATATGCGGTCAGCCCCGTCGGCCGGTAAGAAACGCCGAATTCCGCGGCCTCTTGATCGCGATCTTCGACCTGCCACGTTGTCCTGCCCGTTTTTTCCTTCCCATCGGTGAAGCGGCCCGTCCCGATCGCCCCGTCTGCCTCTACGAGCGCGTTCGATGACACTCCACGATGACCGCCACTGATCCTCCTCGCTCGGTTCGGTATCTTCGCATTTTGTGTCCGATCCGGGACGCCAAAAATGGAGGTTCTCCGTAATTTCGCTCAAGGTTCGTGCGAATAATAATAACCACGAGGATCGACGATTAGTTTAAGCCTCCAATTGCGAGAAGACACGCGTTACTTCCTGCAGAAGTACCCTATTGAGAACTTTCCCTTCAAATCTGGAAATACAAGTGAGCGACGATAACTCTTCAGCGACCTCGACGCTCTGAAATGCTGAAACTGAAAGGAAATCCTCGTTCCAACCGAAACACGTTTCCACTGAGAATCAACACTCACTCATCCAGCCGAATATCGTTCCGTGAATGAGATGTAAGGGAGTAGCTGTGAAAAGTGTACTTCTTTTTCCAGCAATAAATCGATGCGATCGATTAGCGTGCAGTGGTTTCTTTCTTGCTTCTTGATATAAAACTCAATCACTCGACGCTTAATCGGCGAGATCGGGCCCCGATACGAATTATCGCGTCGTTCTCGCTCGTCGCTCCTCCGCGAGACTCGTCAGCACTGTCATGGACGCGCGGATCCAGTTCTCGCGATCTTTTCGCTGCCCGATCGAGGATAGACGCGACGCGATCGAGGAATGTGCGATTTGATTAGCAGATGCCGCGGTACTATGGAGCCGGCTTCAGCATCGGCTCGACGTAGCACAACACCAGCGGGAACCGGCCTCGGAGGGCACGGAGGACGCGGAAGGTGGAGGTGGTCGCGCACCAGCACCGGACGTACCGTCCGAAATCGTGCATGCAGCTATCGGAGGAGAGGCTGCCACCCTACCATCCTCGACCACCACCGAGATCGCCGCCGCCGCCGCCGTCACCGCCACCGCTGCCTCTTCGAATATTACCGAGAGAGAGAGAGAGAGAGAGAGAGAGAGAGGGATAGACAGATAGAAAAAAGTGAGAGAGAGAGAGAGAGAGAGGGGGGAGATTGTCGGTGGGGATTCTTGGCACGCCTGCGCCCCGCTTGCAACTTGTATCCCCTCGCGAGGTAGCGCGGAAACGCACACACCGAGATACCACCTCGTACAAGATTTCGAGATGGTTTACGATACGAGGATAGGGCTCGCGAGCCCCGAAGCGTAGTTTTCCAGTTGGAGCGCGATGGACTTCGCATCCACTGCGGGAGGAAGGAAAAATGTAGTGGCGATCGCGATTAAAGGTAGTCGCAACACATGCGGAGACGATGGGTCTTGATGCTCGTAGAGGAACGCGCGCAGGATGTGCAAGAACTCGTTGAAACTTCCGGACACGAATGTATTCTTAGGAAAAGAGCTCTAGGACGCTTAACGCAAACGTTTTTTGGGCAAAGACAGTTTGGAAATGATGGGAGAGCAAAAGAGACGAGTTCCCGTCTGAATTTCGAAAATGCAAAAATGTTAACTCGGTTCCTTCCTTCAGCCTCGCCGCTGCTGAAAATCGTGTGGCTTCTTCGGTACAAGTAACTCGACTTCAGTTGTCAGATTGGGAATCACTACTCCAGTCACGTGATACAAGTAATAATTAATATTGAAGTGCTCTCACACATAAAAGAACCGAGAATGCCGTATAACCGCCGCTTTTAGGCTCCTATTTGTACGTTTCGCGTTTACTACGACTATATTTCACTTTCGTATACGGATTTTGCGATATAAACGGGACGATGGAGGAGGATCGACGATGCGCGTACGAGCGCGACGTTTATAGAGAGAAGCCGGGTTATCGATATTAACCTTTTACCGGTTTTCTATATAAGAGCCGCTGCAGAAGTTGAAGAAGGGGAGCGAAAGAGGGAGAAGAAATAGTTATTGCCTCGAGTATACGACATTTTGCATCGTCGAACGAAATAAGCTAGCACTTTTCTCAGCAGCTTGGAAATTCGCTACATCGAATATTAATATGAACGTTGTGGGCTCTATAAGTAATTGTTAATTCCACACTCAATCTCCCTCTTCTCGTGTAGCGTTGAAATTATTAGATTGTTAATTAGTACAGCCAGCAATAATCACGAGTAGAATGTTCGTCCATGCGAACAGTCTGAACTTTTCACTCTGCGTTAATATTCATATCGTGAAAGTAGAATTAAAGAGTTGCACGTCGTTGCGTTAGAATAATAACAACAAGATTACGGGTTAATCTCACTATACTTGGATTTAACATCAAAGATGACTTTCTCTTTCCATTATCTGCTCCTCACGCAACAGTGACTCTAATATCAAGTGGAATGTTCAGCTTCTTTTATTTTGCGAAAGGTACATTCCGGAAGAATTGCACCAAGAAGAAACGAATTTTTCGAATTTTTTTTTTGCCGTGAGTTATCGTCGTATCTCTTAGAAAATCGCAAAAATGCAAGGGAGAGCACAACGCGGTTGAAAGATCGGGAACCAACCTCCCGTCCTTTCTCGCGCCCGCGATAGCGTAATTTTGAGTTTCGGACCCCTCGCGATTGCGTCGTGCTTACGGCTGATACACGCGCGATTCTCCGGCATCCGAACGATGTTCCTAATCTGTTTACGTCCAACATGAGCGATAAATCACGCGGCTGTGGCGCATTATTAATAACATGAGGCGGGAAAGGGCGCCGCGGATGGCGGGAGGAAAAAGAGAGGTCAAACTTTCGCGGACGTCGAAGGTTCCGCAAGAAACAGAACAGGATAGTATCGCGCTAATCAAGACCGATGGTCAATAATGGCGGCCACGGGCTGGTCGGCCAACCCAAGTCCAACCTACCCTTCGGGCGTCGGGCGTGTACGGGGTGGCTTAAGCTACCGTCACCGCCGCCGCCGCCACCACCGCCACCGCCACCGCCACCGCCACCGCCGCCGCCGCTGCCACCACCGCCGTCGCCGCCACCACCGCCGTCGCCGCCACCACCGCCGTCGCCGCCGCCGCCGCCGCCGCCACCCCCCACTACGACAGGTCGACAGGGGTAGATTCTGGCCCGAGCTCTGGAGAGCGAGACATATTTTTATTGTAGCTAGGTGAATCACTGCTACTGAACATTTCTCTGTGTACTATCTGACCTACGTTTATGCTAGGCGCGCTTTGAGACGAGCGTGTGGACCGGCTTTCTCTCTCCCCCTTCTTCCTCTCTTTCTCTCTGCATGTCATTTGTTCTTATTGCTGCAAAGTGCATACAGGGTTGCGCGGGAGAACATCGCGCGATTTTAGCAAGCAAATTTCGCGCGGTGAAAAGGATTCGCACTAACGGCAATGAGGATCCTTAACTGGATTACGATATCGCGTGCCGAGTGACGGAAGGTTCTGATCCTCGTTGGCTCGTGTGTTAATTTGATTTGGAGATCGGAGAGAAGATCGGTCGAATCTACAATTCCTACGGGTCTCGACGTGCAAGTAGCTATTAGAATAGCGGGACGTGCATGACGCGCAACGACTAACGCGTGTTATTCATCGACGTCTGACTAGAGGCGAGAGACGGGGCGGGAAATTAGCTAGTTTTTTCCTACCTTTTTTAGATTGTAGGAATAAAGCTCGTTACATGCAGAATACATGTTGCGCGCGTTGGTTGCGGCTTGCATCGGAAAGAGCATTTACGAATGGCCCGTATATGTACGTTCATGGTGTACATGGTGGTACATACGCTTGATCCTGGGTACATATTTACTCTCACGTACATTCGCGTGCACCATCACATCCTGAGTTCACATGTACTCGGTCGGTACGCACGTGTAAGTCACCTTGCTCACCACAAGCGCGCACTTATACACACACTATTACATTCTATCTAAATATACACAAATGCAGCATTATAAAAGTTGTCATTTTTTCTTTTTTTCTAAACTGCGAAGGCCAGAAGATAAACTGAAAAATATAATTTAATAAAATTTCAAGAGAAACCATTTGTTAAGGGCTTTTTTTATAATATTTGGTATCGAATGTGCTGAAACAATTCAATTCCAGACCAAAAATCCCCGGAAGAAAAGCCGATTTCAAACGAATAATGAAGTTTAGTCGTTGAACCGCGCTTCAGAAGCGTCGTTCGCGAAAAGCTCTCCACTTTCGATCGCTCGCAATTCTTAACTTTAATCAGGAAAAGCCTCGCGCCCCGAGTCGGTGTAAAGAATCTGTAATTAAAATTACGACGAAGGGTACTGCGACACCCCCGTGTAAACGCTACTGCGCACACATACACGCATACACGCCATACATACACACATATGCGTAAGGATTGTTACACCCACGTGTCGCGTAAACGCGTCCGCTTAAACTCGCTCGTACGGCGTCCCGCTCACACGCGCACACACGTGTGTCCGCCTTGGCGCGTGTGTATGTGTGGCGCGCGTTTGCGGAGGCGGACCCGCGGGGGTGACTGGATCAGTCGTTGGGTGCACTCAACGAAATTAAACCTACGTTCCTCGACCTCGGACCAACGTCGCAGTCCCGCGCTATCGGGAGAGAGACATCGACGGCTTTCGTCGCGTTTTGCACGCACCGCTTGGAAGCTGCCCGTGCGTAATTCCGGGCACGCAGCGCAGATCTTAACCCTTAACCCTTTCCGTTCCGGTACCGAGCCGGTATCGCGCGCGTACCCAATCTCATGGGATGGGACTCGGCCGATAAAGTAGATAAACGACGGCGTTTTTCGATGAGATTTCGTCCTCTCTCGGATCTTGCCGCGGCAAAGCACAGATACAGCTGTTCGGGTCACCAAACACTCATTGGCAGTTGCATAATTTGTGAAGCACTAAGTAATCAGTGCGTATATGTCTTTTGTGCGTCCCAATAACGGTAGCTTCTTCTATTTCTTTAATGAGATCGGCAAATATGTCGTAGTAAAATCAACGTCCACTTACAAAGGTAGTAGTTTATGTTTTTCGATAATATAACGTGATAATATAAATAATGTCATTTGCACCGAATATCGAATAATATGACGGAAGCAAATATTTTTTTATTATTACATAAATCCGGATGTTCTTTTTTTTATTATAATATAAGTGCAACAAAATAGTAGCAGCCGTCGTCTTCGTATCCATAAAACCCATCTCTTAAGTAAATTGTAAGTGAACTTACAATTTACTGCTGAATTGTAAGTGAACTTACTAGTGAATGAGATTCTTCAAGTATTCCACTCGAAAAACATCCTCGAATTTGTTACTTTCTTTTCACAACCTAACAAATTACTAATCAAAGCTCCGACGTGACGTTTCAAGTGTCACTTCTTTCGTCACGGGAGGGTCAAGTCGTATAGGAGAATCGCGATGAGGATCTTTATCGCAAAGACGACCGAGCACTACGAGTGAACCGTAGCGCATGCGAAGAAAGGGAATCGTTCTTGCAATATCGGCGTGTTGCATAACGGAAACGCGGATAGCGCGCGGGATGGCTAGCGCGAGCGAGCGGCTCGAAAAGCTCGAAAAGCTCGAAAAGCCCGAAAGAGAGTGTCACGTTTCCATGGTAACCCGGTGCGGCAACTCCGCCCCTGGCCTCGCTCGGTTCGATATCCTCTCGTCTCTCTTGCCTGGCGCCCAACGTCAACGTGCTCTACATTTTTCCAAGCCGAAGTTGAGCCCGTGAACCGTACGAGACTAGAGCGGCGGAGACGATAACAGTCCTTCTACACCGGCAAGTCTATCTTTCTCTCTGTCTCCTCCGGAAGATCCTCCGCAAAAGCCGGCCTTCACGACACGCTTGATTCGCGACAGTCTGCGAATTCGATGTCTACTTGGGCCAACTATATTATTCCTGATAAAAGTATAACGAATATCATAGACTTGATCACATACGATTTTCCTC